ACCTTGTTTCGGCATCTCCTGGGGTCCTACTAACATAGTAAATAAGACATTGCTTACCTTCTTCTTCCCGGACCAGGACACCACTTACCGACACCTCGGAAACCGCCAAGTAGCGATACAGTTGTTCATTCGCCTTCGGAGTGTACATCAAGGAAGGAATCGATAGGTATCGCTTGAGTTCTTCTAAAGCTCGCTGGTACTCCAGGGTCCAAGAGAAGTCGTTCTTATTTTTCAATAATGAGAAAAACCGGTGGCTCTTATCTGATGATCTCGAAATAAACCGGCCTAACGCGTCCACCCAGTCAGTATTTGTACTGCCCTAACGTTGTCAACTATGGTGATATCTTCTATAGATTTTATCTTGTCAGGTTTGATCTTTATTCCCCGATTAGATACGATGAACCCGAGGAACTTGTCGGAGCTGACCCCGAAGGCACACTTCTCCGGGTTTAGCTTCATGTTGTACTTACTCAATATGTCGAAGGTTTCCTATAAATATTTAAAATGGTCCTCTGCTCACAGGGACTTAACCAACATATTGTCAATAGAAACCTCCATTGATTTTCCTATTTGTTCTTCGAACATCCGGTTAACTAGGCGTTGGTACGTGGCACCGACATTCTTGAGCCCAAATGGCATCACGTTATAACAGTAGGTGCCGAATTTGATTATGCGGCAGCTGTGTGTGGACTGGTTTTCAGCTCATTTTTTGGGCTATTTTCAGCTCATTTTTGAGCTATTTTGAGGGAGTTTTGGGGCTGGATTTGCAACTCATTTTCTTTGCTGGTTCCTCCCTCTTTTTTGTGTGTTATGTGTGTGTTTTATAGCTGAAAATGGGGTATGAGATTTGTGATAGGAGAAAAGCATGGGGGACAAGGAGTGGGGAATAATGGAGAGAGTAGGGAGCAAAGTGTGGGGGGTCAAGCATGAGGGACAAGGAGTGGGGAACAATGGAGAGTGGAGTAGGGAGCAAAGTGTGGGGGAGACAAAGCATGGTCTTTTCTTGATCGCCCGGGTCCATCTGAATTTGGTTGTACCCAGAATAAGCATCGAGAAAACTCAATATCTCGTGTCCTATAGTCGCGTCGATCATTCGATCGATGTTAGGCAAAGAGAATGAGTCCTTTGTACACGCCTTGTTTAGATCCTTATAATCTATACACATTCTAAGTTTGTTCCCTTTTTAGGTATGACTACTACGTTAACTAACCAATCCGGGTACTTAACTTCTCGGATGGAACCTATTTTCTAAAGTTTAGATACCTCGTCTTTAATGAACGGGTGTTTGATCTCGGACTGCAGCCTTCTCTTTTGTTTGACCGGATAGAAATTTGGATCTAGGCTCAATTTGTGAGTTGTTACCTCCGGTGGGATCCCTATCATATCTAAATGGGACCAGGCGAAACAATCGGCATTAGCTTTAAGAAAATTAATAAGTTTTTTCTTGAGCTCGGGAGTTAGTCTTATGCTCAGGTATACCTTTCGATCCGGTAGGTACTCGATCAGTATAACCTGTTCTAATTACTCGATTGTTGACTCAGTGGCATCGGTGTCATCGGGTTCTATAAAAGATCTCGGGACGCCGTAATCATCTTCTCGTTCACTATATGCTCATCTTGTTTTTTCGACCTGATTGAGGTCGGGATCATTGATTGCTATTTGGTTTCCTTTTTTTCGGCCAGTTCCTTGGTTTTTGATGCCAAAAACGCGGGCACCGGGATTACTTCATCGACAGCGAACTTCTCTTTTACGGTAGGATATTCCCCGTAGATTATTTTGACTCCTCCCGGAGTGGGAAATTTCAATGTCTGATGTAAGGTTGAAGGCACCGCTCTCATGCTGTGAACCAATGGCCTTCCGAACAAGGCATTGTACCGCATATCCCCCTCAATCACGTAGAACTTTGTTTCTTATGTGGTCCCGGTAGTGTTTACCGGTAAAGTTATCTCACATTTCGTTGTCTCGCATACCATGTTGAATCCGTTCAACACCCGGGCCGCCAGTACAATTTGGTCCAACAATCCAGTTGTTCTACGACTCTCTATCGGATGATGTTGGCCAAGCTACCTGGATCAATCAACACACGTTTAACTCGATATTTATTGATAAGTACGGATATTACCAGTATATCGTTATGAGGCTGGATGATGCATTTGGCGTCTTCATCGCTGAACGAGATGGACCCTTCCTGGACATATCCCGGGTGCATTTTTCCCTTGTGATACAAACTTTGGTGCGTTTTATCATTGGCCCTTAGGGGGACATCCACTCCCCCAGTGATCATGTTGATCACGTGCTGGGGCTCCTCTTGTTCGACCTATTTGTTGGCGTCCCTGTTTCTGAAATGATTTTTGGCCCGTTCTCTTAGGAATTCTCGAAGGTGCCCATTGCTGAATAATCGAGCTACTTATTCCCTTAGTTGTCGAAAATCTTCGATCCTATGAACGTGAGTACCGTGGTACTTACACACCAAGACGTGATCTCTTTGGGCAGGATCGGACTGCAGTGGTCTAGGCCACTTGGTCTCTTTGATGCGTCCTATGACCAACACTATACTTGGAGCATCCACGTTGAAATTGTACTCCGATAATCTCGGCGTTTCCCTGCCCCCGAGCGACCTGTCAAAACTGTTTTTTCTCATTATGCCTCGATTGCTCGGCCTTTGTTCATTTCTCTTGTCGTTCCTAGTCGGGTGGCACCCGGATCCATTTCCTCTCTGATCAGAGCCGTGTGGCTGATATCGATCTCGGACCGGCCTTGGCTCCTAGTCGATGGTTCTCTTAGACCTGTCATTCACTATGATCTTTGATTGATACTTGTTATAAATGTTGGCCCAAGTGACCGTCGGGTACTTCACCAAGTTGAGAAGCCACGAAACTTCGGGTGTTGAGCCCTTGAGTAAACGCCTGAATGGCCCAATCATCCGCGATGGGGGCAAGTCCATTTGTTCCATTTGGAACCTCGACACGAACTCCTTAAGTATCTCGTTATCCCGTTGCTTGACTTTGAAAGGTCCGACTTCCTCATCTCGACCTTGATGGCGTCAGCGTGGGACTTTGCGAAAGCATCCGTAAGCATAACAAATAAATCAATAAATTTCGGAGGCAAGTTGTGGTACCATATTATCGCTACTTTGGACAAGGTTTCCCCAAATTTCTTCAACAACACCGACTCAATCTCATCATCTTCCGGGTCGTTCCCCTTGATTGCACATGTATAGGAGGTTACATGCTCGTTTGGATCTATAGTCCCATTATACTTGAGAATATCGGGCATTCGAAACCTCTTCGGGATCTGCTTCGGTGCCGCGCTCGGGGGGAAAGGTGTCTGAATGAATTTTATGGAATCCGGCCCCTTTAATATTGGAAGTGCTCCCGAGATCTGATCGACCCTAGAATTATAAGTTTCCACCTTCTTGTTATTGGCCTCTATCTTTTTCTCACCATACTTCACCCGCTTTTTCAATGCTTCGATCATCTTCATCACTTCGGAAGTTTCCCCGGACTTGAATTCATTCGGTTACACGGCAACTTGTTCATCCCTTCGAGTGTTTTTCCTGATCCGCTCGGGCTCGATCCTGTTAGGGACGTGACTTTGGGTCTGCAACTACGCTATTGCCGCTTGCTGAGCTTGCAACATTTTAAAAATCAACCACAAGCTAACCCCATCACCTTCCCATCCGGGTGCTTCTTGAGCCGATGGGTGCCCCGCAAATGCTATTTTCGGGATCAGTTGGCAGATTGATGTCGATGACAACCTGTGAGTTAGCGTCGACTCGGTGCGCAACTGGAATATCATTGGGATCAACATAGGGCACGTCATTGCTAGGTACCACGTTATTGTTTTTACCGTGGTGGCCTGACTCGGCGTCAATGTTCAAGTGAGCAAATTGAGAATTTGACATTCTTAGGTTAACCTGAAATCAAACTTCAATGAACAAGTGTAAAATAGGGTGTGTTATGGAGATTCCTATTAAATCACCACTATTATCCTTAGCCCCATGGTGGGCGCCAAACTGTTTACCCTTAAAAATGAGTAATAATTAAATTTGTACGCGATTTAAAAGATATGTGATTTAATTTAATACAAATGATCTAAGAACCGCGAATAATTAAATTAGAGAGAGAATAAACGATCAACCCAATCACGATGGAACAATCAAGCTTGATTTTAAGTTGATCACATAAAACTGGCTCCGATTGAGCCCTCGATATGACCTCGGTTGAAATTAAAGAAGAAAGTAACTGAAGAACACTTTGAATAATAGCTAGAAGACAAAAATAAACTTTTATTGCTTTGATGCTCGTGTCATTAATGGTTTAAAATGAAAAAGTCCTCCCCTTTATATAGTAGGAGAATTTTAATCATAGTACAAGTCTAAATAAGGTAAAATTCTTTTTTGGTAAATGTCGATTCGTAGTTGAATCGGACGGGAATTGCGCCATAATATCCGATTGAGGGCGAATATTACGGCTCCTTGTTCATCAAGCTCAATCGTTTCTCTTTTTTCTTGGTCTCAAAACTTTACTCGGTTCTGATATGTTATTTAGCCATGCCCGATCCCAGATGCACCATTCGTTCCCCCGAGCTCCGAGACGAGGGACCTTTCGGCTTCGCTCAAGGTTGCGTCAGATCATGCTTCACTCTCATTTTTTTACTGGGGAATCGGGGATAACATTATCCCCGATTTTACTCGTACACAAGTTATTTACAATCAACTAATTTAAACGGGCTCTAACATCTAACATTGGATTAGATTCGATCTTAGTTTAGTTGATTTTAGAAAAAAAAATCATTGAACGCTTCAGTCCAAGACGTAGCCAAATACGGTTGTGTACAAAAGAGAATTTTGTTTTACTCGGGGTAAATTCTCCAAGTCAATTTACTTCTCTACAGAGTAAAAAGACATTGGCCATTATCTCGCGATATTTTTAACAAAATAACTCCTTCCCCGCGAGACGATAGATTTTTAACAATCCTATAACTATACTATCTCTGTGTCTGTTCTCTTTTCCCTCTTTATCTCACATTTGTTCAGATCCGAAGAGATGGTATAATTTTGCTCTATAGAAGGTTTAGGTTAAAGATTGGTTGCGGCGGCGGCGGTGGTAACGGTGATGAAGAAGAAGAGAGAGAAAATGGAGTTACAAATTTAAGTAAGAAGCGAGTGTACTCCGGCAAGTAACTTCGACTAATCGGTTATTTTCCTTTTCATACGAACAATCATCATGTACGGACATTGACATTGACGCCATGAATTTGTTGTCAACAGACACACTAGTAACGTGGAATTGAAGTGAATTTGGAACAGAACGACTTGTTGAAACTGAAAAGGCTGTAAATGCAAGTGCTTTTAAGCGAGACTGCGAGTCATTAATGTGTCACAGAGTAGGCTTTTTTTGGTTATAGGATTTGATTGAAGAGGAGGGGATTGATGAAGCTGTGTTATAATTACACTCTCTGTCTAAATGAAGGCACAGTCTGCAGTTGTTGAGGCTTTAATTGTTTGCTTCCGAATTAATTGTCCGATCAACTTGCGTACAAGACATGCTTTGGATCAGCTTTTTCTCGTTTTAATTTCTCTCTTTGTAAATTTAAGTAATACATTTGCTTCTTCTGTGGTTTCCATTTTTACTTTCCGTAAATGAGGTTGTGTTCTTATCCAGTTTTTCTTCATTACCGCATTTAAATAGTGATAGGCGCACAGGAATCAAATCTGAAACTGCGATTCTCTGATCATCAAAAAATACAAAGAGGATTTGCACCTAACAAATTAATTTTATTGTAAAAAAAAGGTTGTAGTAATGTGTTCTTTTATTGTTGAAATGTCTAAAAGTTTATATAAAAAGCACATTAGATGTATTTACTAGTTGGGTGTAAACATTGAGCCAGAATACCTTTTGGTGTAGGTTTATTTGTAGTATTGTTTCAGTAATTATCTTCTTTTGCTTGAATTTGTTCCTGACATGTTTTATTTTTGGTACGCAGAACCTGCTGAAGAAGTAGGAGGTGTTTCAAAATTGTCATTTGTAGTTATTACCAAAGGAAACCATCTATAAGAAGAAAGGAAGTAGCTTTTGCAGGACAGGTAAAATGAAGGAGGCGATAGAGAAGTGTGTGGACTCTCAGCTATGGCACGCCTGTGCAGGAAGCATGGTGCAAATTCCTCCATTAAACTCCAACATCTTCTATTTCCCACAAGGCCATGCTGAGCATACATCTACAGATGTTGATTTCACTGCTCTGCCGAGAATTTCTGCTATGATTCTATGCAGGGTCAATGCTGTAAAATTCTTAGCTGACCCTGAAACTGATGAGATTTATGCCAAGATTATGCTTATTCCGGTTGAAAACAAGAACCATGACTTTGAAAATGACACTGTTTTAGGAAGCAGTGCGGTTGAAACAACTGAGAAGCCTAGTTCGTTCGCCAAGACGTTGACTCAATCGGATGCAAATAACGGGGGTGGTTTTTCAGTTCCTAGGTACTGTGCAGAGACAATTTTCCCGAGGTTGGATTTTACAGCTGAGCCTCCTGTCCAGACTGTGATCGCGAAGGATGTTCATGGTGCAATCTGGAAGTTCAGGCACATCTATAGGGGCACGCCACGGAGGCATTTGTTGACAACTGGTTGGAGTTCATTTGTGAATCAGAAGAAGCTGGTTGCAGGGGACTCTGTTGTGTTTCTGAGGGCAGAAAATGGTGATCTTTGTGTTGGAATTCGCAGGGTAAAGCGGGGTGGTATTGGTGGGATGGAACTGAATTCTTCTGGTGGGAGATTTAGAGATAAGGGACAAGTGAGCCCTGAATCAGTTGTTAAGGCTGCATATCTCGCTGCTAGTGGCCAGCGTTTTGAAATTGTTTATTACCCTCGTGCAAGCTCTCCTGAATTTTGTGTTAGGGCGTCTTCTGTGAATGCTGCAATGAACGTTCAATGGTGCTCAGGGATGAGGTTCAAAATGGCTTTTGAAACCGAGGATTCTTCTCGGATCAGCTGGTTCATGGGAAGTATATCATCGGTTCAGGTTGCTGACCCCATCCGCTGGCCTCATTCACCTTGGCGGCTTCTTCAGGTAATGCAGCCACTTTCAGTTTTCTATTTGGACCAATACATAACTGTTTATTAATGTCAATTTGCCATTATTCTATATTAATATTCCTATTTAACAATGGGATGAAAGAAGTACTTTTGTGTGTATAATGGTTAAGCCGTTAAGCAACCAATGAAAACATAATGGTTATGCGAAGATGGTTCTTTATGCTGAGCAGTACTATTAAAGCATTCCGTTCCCTGCTAGGTGTTAGGATTATTTTCTTTCCTTTTCCCCATTTCTCCAATTCCTGGCTGGGAGATTGTTGGAGATCTACACAAGACATGGTATGAAGTCACATAGTAGTAGCACGAGAAACTTGACAGAAGTGTTCTATTTGCCAACTATGACATGTAAAAGTGGTTGCTGCATTCCTTTCATCTCTTAGTAGTGAGTTCCAGGCTTATCATATTCTATTGGGACTACTTTAGATATATGAAATTATTTCTGTAATTGCATTGAATGTTACTGGCTTACTGCTACTATGATGTAATCGAATTTGAAGTGCTAAATCCAGTTTTGTATCTCCAGTTAACATTTAGTTGTAGTTGTTTGGTTTATAAATTTCTTTGTTATATACTGCAGGTGACATGGGATGAACCAGATTTACTGCAAAATGTAAAACATGTCAGCCCATGGCTTGTCGAATTGGTCTCTAATATGCCCGTCATTCACTTATCACACTTCTCACCACCAAGGAAAAAGTTGTGTTTACCGCAAGATTTTGCACTTGACAGTCAATTTCCATTACCTTCATTTTTGGGCAACCCCCTCAGGTCCAGCAGTCCTTTTTGTTGTCTATCTGACAACATCACTGCAGGCATACAGGGAGCCAGGCATGCTCAGTTTGGAGTACCTTTATTGGATCTCCAACTTAGCAAAAAAATTCAGTTGGGACTGCTACCACCCGTTTCCCAACCACTCGATGCTGATTCTAGAATTCCTAATGGCATCAGTAAGGTCCAAAAAGAGAGCAACGAAAACATATCTTGCTTGCTTACCATGGGTAGTTCTAGTCAGATGTTGGATAAAGCTGATAATTTGAAAACACCTCGGTTTTTACTCTTTGGCCAACCAATTCTCACTGAGCAGCAAATGTCAAGTGGCCGCTCTACTAATGTTCCTCCACAAGTCCAAACAAAAAGAGACTCCTCCGGTGAGGCACAAATGGAAACTGAAAGAATTTCTCTTGGCTGGAAAGGCCTTTCAGAAAGTCTATCAAACGCTACATTACTTTGGAATAAAGGTTATCACGCAGCTGAACTTGGCATGAGTACTGGTCACTGCAAAGTATTCCTAGATTCGGAGGATGTAGGACATGCCCTTGATATCTCAGTTTTAAGATCATATGAAGAGGTGTATAAAAAACTTGCAGACATTTTTGGATTAGAAAGATTAGATATGATGACACGTGTACTCTATATAGATGCAACAGGTGCATCTAGACAAATTGGAGATGCACCATTCAGGTGCATACATTGCTTCCAGTACTTTCTATTCTTGAATTCATTCATGTCAAAAAATATTTCTAGTAAAAAGTTCTTATCAATGCCCTCGGACTTGTAATGCAGTGACTTTGTGAAGACTGCAAAAAGACTGACAATTCTGAAGAATCCTGACAACAGTGCTGCAAGGTAATTATTAGTAATTGAATACTTCCTTTAGTGACTGTTGTCTTTGTATCAAACCATCAGAACTAAACCATTCTACCTTGAAAGGTCTGTAGATAATCTCGAGAATAATAGTTCCGACATATTCCAAATTGTGCTGTTTTACTATACCTTCTCTACTAGGGGGAATTGGTATATTGTGATTAATGCCTAAAATCGTGTATTTCAGGAAATGGCTCACCGATCTGCCAACTGCTGAAGGTTGTCTAGATTCTTCAAACCAGGCAGGATCCCTTAGCATCTTTGCGTAAATTAGCTTTTATTACCTCTGGTTGTTTCTAAGAAATCATAGACTGCCATTTGTAGTGTGAAAGGACACTACTAATGGAACATGGATATGTTTTAAGGATGTCTCCGTTTTCTTTATGTTGGGAATAATGTGACGGTTGTTCTGTTTACCACATCTTGCTAAGCTGTAGCCACATGTTTGTTAGTGGTATTATCAAAGACAACAAAATTTATTCATGTGAAGACATGTTTATGTATTTCTTCCATATCAGTATTCTTGTCTTCTGCAAATTCTTGATTATATGCTTGGCATTACGAAGTTTAAATAAGATACAGACGCTGGGACTCCAAATTTCCTGTCATTGTTGAGAGAACTTTCCTCTGCTTTTCATGATGCTGATCGGTGAGTTGTGTCATTTTATCCGGATGGTCAAATGTGGTTGCAAACATGCCACAAGAATTCAACGGCAATGCTTAATGTGTCGTGTACTATGTATTCTTGCAGCAATATTCCAGTGGAACTACAATCCATATATATAAAACTCGAAATTGTGTTGTCCCCAAACCTCAATATTTGCATTGTGATCTTCTGTTGATTATAGTAAACTGCCAAGCAAGTTCTAGTTAGGTTCCTTGCGTCAAATTGGCCAGTAAGGCGAAAACATAAAGGAAATGGATTGACATACAGGATTATTCGCCTCTGATCCATTTTGGGGCAACGTCTCTGGAAATACTCCCCGGTCTCAAATTATCTTGTCGTAGTTTCTAAAAATTCTTGTCTCAAATTATTTGTCATTTTAAAAGTTCAAGACAAAATTAATTATTTTCTTCTCATTTTACCCTTAGTAGTAATTGTTCTCGAAGATGGAGATAGCAAATAAATAGAATAAATATTCAAAGAAAGATAAATTATATCTTATGACATAAGTAAGGGTAAAATAGTCAAAAATTTAATCTAATTAATATTTCTTAAGGGTCTTGTAAAGAAGAGGAGTTTTGGTATAACTGGTAAAGTTGTTGTCATGTAACCAGGAGGCCACGGGTTTGAGCCGTGAAAATAGTCTAATTAATATTGTACGCAGCGTAAGACTGGACTTGTGGTCCGGCTCTTCCAGGCCCCGCGCATAGCCGGAACTTAGTGCGCCGGAACAAATAATTAGGGATGGAGGGAGTATATTTTAGCAATTTAATTTTGTGAGGCCAGCAGCATCCAGCAAGAAAAAAAATTTTCCACTCTGTTTTGTTTTTTGGTAGAGAAGCTCGACATGGTCGGCGAGTTAAGTAATTTAAACTTGAAGCTTTCCTTGTAGTTTGTGTTTTATATATTATTATTTGTTCTAGCATGAATAGAGAAGCTTATTGCGTGGTAAAATGGAGAAAGTACCAAATATAAAAAGAAGGAAGTTCGAAAGGATAGTGAATGAAGTTTACGAGCGAGACAATGGAACAGATCCCCAACAAAGAAGAAAGAAACAGAAAGGTCGTGACAGAGTGTGGTTTTGTCTCATGTGAGTTTGAAAACATGTTGATTATGCCCAATACCTAATTACCAAAAAAAGTCATAGGATTTGTTCAAGTACTTTTCTAAGTATGAGTATATTTTGTCACGATCAACTATCAATCAAAATGACAATTGTCGAGGCACACGTGCGCCTGCCAACCAAATAGGTTTGGTTTTCATCAATTTGATGTGATTTAATTAATTTGTACTCTAAAATGAGTGGTTCAATTCATTAAGCTCTCGGTAGTTACTCTAGTGGTGAGCACCCTCCACTTCCAACTAAGAAGTTGTGAGTTGGAGTCACCCCCAGAGCAAGGTAGGGAGTTCTTGGAGGGAAGGAGCCGAGGGTCTATCGGAAACAGCCTCTCTACCCCAGGGTAGGGGTAAGCTCTGCGTACACACTACCTTCCCCAGACCCCACTAGTGGGATTATACTGTGTTGTTGTTGTTGTTGTTGTAATTTTATTTTGCATTTATTTTAAAAAATTATTTCCATGATTTAAATCACCAACTTTAT